GACCCCGTCTCGCTCGATATTCGACGACAGTGCGGAGAAGTCAAGTCATGGATACGTATCCTGCAGGAGAAGTTCAGAGGCAAGAGGCTTATCGTCGCCAGAGATAAGCTCGACAACGTCAGAGGAGTGCGCCAGAAATTGCTTTCTTATGAACTCTTTCTCAACAAATACCCTCACTGGCGAGACTCCGTCGTTCTGGTGCAAGTCGCATCCACCACTACTGAACAGCCAGAGCTAGAGGCCTCAGTCTCTGATATTGCGACTCGTATCAACTCTGTACATTCTAACCTTGCCCATCAACCGCTCATTTTCCACAAACAAGACCTCCTTTTTGACCAGTACCTTGCGCTTATCTCTGTCGCGGATGTTTTCATGGTAACCAGCCTGCGCGAAGGCATGAATCTTACCAGCCATGAATTCATCCACTGTCAAGACGGCCTGCTTTCTTCATCGAAACATGGGCCTCTGATTCTTAGTGAATTCACCGGTAGTGCATCCATATTCAACTACCACCCTCTCCTCGTTAACCCTTGGAACTACCAAGAATGCGCCGATGCAATCAATACCGCCCTCGAAATGCCCCCCGAGGCTCGTCTGGCTCAATGGACCCGCCTCAACAACACGGCGAAAGATCATGTAACCACGCGGTGGGTAAACAACTTTACGGATGCTCTTGACCATGCATACCGCCAACACTCTACCCGTGAAACCGTTGCTGTCCCCCGTCTCTCTATCCCCAACCTCTGTGACGCCTACCGTGCATCTACCCGTCGCCTCCTCATCCTAGACTATGAAGGCACTCTAGTCACCTGGGGTCAACCTACCAGCACAGTCCTCACAACTCCTCAGAGGGCCATCGACACTCTCACAGACCTCCTCGAGGACCCCTTTAACACGGTGTATGTAATGTCCTCACGCATGCCCGAAGACATGGAACGTCTCTTTAGCCGCGTACCCGGGCTCGGCCTCATAGCAGAAAACGGGTGCTTCGTACGCCCGCCTCCCATGGCTTCTCCAACCCCCTCTCCGCCAACTACCAGCACGCTAGTCTCTCCGGACTGGATCCGTCTGATCGACATGTCCAAGATGAAGGACTGGAAACAGTCTCTCTCGCCCATGCTACGTTATTTCCAGGAACGTACAGAAGGAAGCTGGATCGAAGAGACGCACGCATCTCTCATCTTCCACTACGAAAGAGCAGAAGACTCCCAGAGCGCAGAACGACATGCCTCCGAATGTGCAAACAACGTCAACGATAGCTGTGGAAATCATGGCCTTAGGGCAATACAGACCGACGGCTGCGTTACTGCCGGGCCTGTGGAACCCAACAAAGGCACTGCCGCCAGTGTGGTATATTCATCGTATATGAGGAGAGAGTCGCGCCGGAGTTCTAGCGCCGGTAGCACAGGTAGCGTGAAGCATGGCATGGCAATAGACTGGAAGAGCGAGACAGATGACATGGACGAGGAGGTACCAGATTTCATTCTTGTCATTGGCGACGGAAGGGACGACGAGCCAGCTTTCAGATGGGCGAACGAACTAGGTGAAGAGAAGAAAGTGAAGCATGTCATGACTGTTACGTTGGGATTGAAGAATACAGAGGCCATGGCCACTTTAACGCAGGGCGTTACCGGTATGCATCACTTTATACCCTATCACGATCTCTCCTGCAAATATCTCAAACTAATATTTTCTTGACAGGAGCATTATCGTGTCTGGGCAAACTAGTTGATATATCGCAACGCAGGGATTCAGCGTCTCTAGCTCAGCAACTGTCTTACATTCCAGCGTCAAGTGGAGAGTGAATTCAAGTTCCGTCAACCGAGCCAGTTCTTATATGTTCCAGCTATGTATTATATGAACACCCTTTCTCCCCAGCGTAGTTACATACATAGTATATAGCTAGCTAATATATCACGGTTAGTTTCACCTAACATTCCGCGACGGTATCTTCTATAACTCTATCATCTTTCTATTTAGCACCCTTATCAAAAATGTAAACAATATATTTCATTTGTAGGCGGTGGTAGCTCTGTTCTCAAGCTCAGTATTATCATTTCTCAGACACAACTTTATAGTACTATTATCATCCATTCACTCGGTCAATTCTTTCCTTTAAACACACCATAACACGTATATAATATTTAGCCCGCTAAGAATATATGTGGAGTTGAAATCAGACGTATCAATTTCTAACAAAACCGTGCCAAGTAGCAGACGACAACAAGCAGGTTATCTACACAGTCTCATTCCCGTACAATCAACGAATTGACATACCTCAGCATTTGCATCAACCAAGGACAAAAGGGGGAGACAACATCAATCCCGAACAAACGAGAGACCCATTGAAATAAACATGGAAGCAGAACAGACGGCCATTAGACGCCTTTGCGCCCGTATGGAGGCAAGTATCGATCACACGCAGCCGTCAAGCATCACAGAGGAAACGCTAGAATACTATCGAACAACACAGTTCCTCAACTTGATCTGGGAGCCAGATGACACCTTAATCACGTTCGAGGAAAAGATGAGCGAAAGCTGGTCCATTGCAAAGGGAGCGTTGGTTGACCGGCTTGCCCTCTGGCACCTCCACTCCCTCATCCCAGATAGATACGATTCAGCACGTACCAAAATTAAAGAAGTGGCCACGATGGAAGAAGGCCTGGAGCATCTTCGGTGCGAAGCCTTGCTATCCTGCCAGATTCTACAAAGAGATGAGAACCGCAGTGTAAAACAACGAGCTGAAAAACGCAGACGCGGACGAGGCGGTCGAAAGCTCAGAGACAATAAGGGCAACAATGGCAAACTTGCATCGAGGGTAGAGAAACCTGGTGACCAAACGCGCGAATTCTCTAGTATCTGCAGCTGGTGCCACGAGAAAGGACATAGACAGAGAGTCTGCCCCATCCTCAAGGACGCCGATAAGAAGGGGATGGTGCTGTGGAATCGACATGGGCAACCTCGTCTTGTTGGCGGTTTCTACCTCGACTTCAACACGCCCAAACACTGTTAGATTCGACTGTTAGATTCGAAGTGCATTCTAGCCTGGTCAATCTGCAGGACATGTTGAATGTGCCAAATATGCCATTATCTACTCTTGCTAAAAGAGCATGCAATCGCTAAGGTGGCGCGCGATATTAAACTCCAATTCAGAAAACAGATACACGCATCAATGATGGATTAACAACTAGACAACCCAAGTTCAAGCATTTAACCAAAGGCTTACGTCCTTTAGGAGGCCAGCTTCTAGAATACAGCAGCAGAATCAATGGTGCTAGATTACCTCTCTTAACTAACTAGCCCCGAGGGTATGCACGTTGAGAATGAAAAATGGACCGGCAGTTGACACTATATTACAACTTCAAGGGCAATTATACGTGAAGGAGCTACAAGGTGAGACAGACAACGAACGCCGAGTTAATATCTCATACATTAATGAGTTTATAGCCTTGATACACTTCGTTTGATTTGCGTCCATGAACACCAACCGATGAGAGACGGTGATAAATATATCAAGTGATATCTCCGTCTTAATACGCTATATTCCACTGTAAACCAGATTAGCATGGTGATGTTGTTTGGTGGGAGAAGCATCTATACCTTGGCTGATATAACGATGGCATGACAATCCCATAATGTACATATATCCCACGGGTACGTGGGTGCTTCTTACATTCATCTGTCCCAGTGGCAGGCTGACATCGCGAGCGTTAATGCATAGAAGATAGTGAGTCATGAGTTTTAATATATACTGTGTAGACGCCAATTGCCGCCGTGTAATCTGTATATCGATGCTCATACTGACCTTTAAATAGATTGACCTAAGTGGATTCGATGACTCTTTACTAGGTGGAAAAGCGTTCCGCGAGATGTGATATATAGAGCGATGCCTAAGATATATAAAGGGGTCAGCTCCTCGCATTCAGTTACTAGTGCTGAATGGTTCCCCTCGCCAGGGATGACAAGTACCCATACATAACCCACCGTGATCAAAAGCCTTGAGCCGGACATATACATTTACATATGCTAAATTATAATGATAGCGAGCACAAGGTAGAGGCTGAGAAATGCACAAGCATGGAGACATGGGACCTTGCCAAGTACGGCTCGATTTTTTGTGAACGCGAGTAGATCTGGTTCCGTCTGGCATCATGTGTATACCACGAATCTATGAAAGCATACGCCAATAAGAATGCAAATATAACGACAGGGATGCCATCTTAGCTTCCTCTGGCTTGATAGCCTTGGCTTCCCTTAGCTTCGCCTTATTTTGGGATCCTCAAAGTTGGCGGGATGGCGTTAAACTACTATGTAAAACCACCGGCTGGGAGGATAAAAAGATGTTGCTGGATCAACTGGAGGCATTCGGATAGAGAACCCGAATGAAGATACTTCAATGCATTTATCACTCGCATATATAATGTCGTGACTAGTTGACATCACTGGTTCAGGGGAAGGACCTCGACGGCTACGTCCAAAGCCTTCCTGGTAATATTATCATACAAAGAGGCTGGCCAGAACCCCCGTTCGACATGGGGTGTCCAACAGTTACTGTCATCTCATCCGTCCTTCGTACCCTGCTATGGCAGCGGACATAATAATGTATGATCAGGCAACAGCATCACATCCATCATCTTCTACCTATCTACCCGCTAATCTACTCACCACCGTCTGATGGATATACGAGGCGTACAAAATACAATGACGGAATTGAGTGATCCTTTGCATGGCCAGGAATTGACAAGCATCCAAGTGCGAGAAACTGTCCACCGCTAGTAGACCTCTACCCTGTGAGTGCAGTGTAGATACAGAGCACTCCTGAGAGAGAAGACATGACTTCATCCCAACTATAACCATTAGAGATACTCCTTAAAGTCCATGATCGTTTCGTTGCCGTTCTTAATTACAATCGCAGTCTCAGCCTGCGATGTCCCAAACACTTCATCAGATAAGCAGATGTTATCAATATCGAGCCGAGGCATTTCGGCGCAACCTCGAGATTCAGCTTTTGGCACATCGAATTTCGTGTAAATCCGCTCCTTTTCTTTGGTTCTCTATTTCATTCATACTTAACCTAGTCTGTCTTTATTCTTCCGTCTTATATCTACTTGGCTGTCATTTCGGAGGAAAGGATAAACATGACGACAGCCAAATCACCGCCGGCAGCGAGCTTCAACGAAGCCATCGCTATTACGCCGCTCTCGTCGCACACGTACTCTGCGAACCTACGATCAGAATGGTGCATTGGCACTGGTAAGCATTTACCTCTTTGCCTGCCAGTATATATCTAATAGAAGCACCGGAAAAGTCCCCCACGGCGGCTATGTGACCTCCATCTTCTACTCGGTTGCCCGCACGCATATGAAAACCACCCATCCAACACGCCACAAAGGCTCCCCCGATCCCATAACGGTATACCTCACCTTCATTCGCAGGACAAACATCGGGCCTGCCCTGTTCACCGTCGTGGACACGAAGCTAGGCTCTCGCACATCGACCCTACACATCACACTCAGCCAGCAGGATCCAGACGGTAACCGCCGTGAAGAAGTAGCAGGATACATCACCGTATCACACATCGCCAGTGAAGAAGGGCCAACACTGAAGACTGCCTTTGCGCCGACTCCCGCGCCTCCAGCCGTCGACTTCAACCAGTTAGCGAGCACCGGACAGAGCGGAGAGTGGAAACGATTTGAGGTAGCCTTTGCTTCCATGAGGAAGGCAAGTCGATTTGTTGAATTCTACGTTCCTTCTGCGCCGGAAGCGGTGAGACGTGGGTTTATCGAGCAGTGGGCTCGGTTTATGCCGTACGGAAAGGCCGAAAGATGGACGGATGAAACCCTTGGATTTCTAGCCGATATGTTTCCCATGATGCTTGAGTCGTTTGACGACAGGCCGTGGGACGAGAGGTCGAAGGAGGAGAAAGATAAAGAGAAGATGAGCAAGAGCCTAAAGGGCAAGTTTTGGTATCCGACCATTCTGTTGAATTTGGATATTAAGAAGACGCTGCCGGCCGAAGGGGTGGAGTGGCTTTATTCTCGGGTGCAGACAAAGAACCTGCATAACGGCAGGATGGACCTGGATGTTATTATCATGGATGAGAAGGGTGAGATCGTTGCTCTAAGTAACCATGTTGCGCTGGTAATCGGAGCAGAGAGGAACTTGAGTGCGAGAAAGGGCAGCGGGAAGCCCAGTGGCGAGAGTAAGATGTGATGCCGTATCATTGTAAAAAGTAGAACCTGGTTTAGATGTAAAACATATATAGATATATAACTCAGTGCTATTTACGACCCTCTTTTCATGCATGAGCCGAATCAAAGCTTCGAATCCTTGACCAGGATGAAGAATCCCACGGCATCAGCACAAACGTACTTCTTCTTCACCCACTCGACCTTCTCCCCGTCAGGCTTGATCGGGTTCTCCTCCTGCACCAACTGCGCTCTCACCCACCACTTCCGGCCCTCATTGCCGATACACCACGTCCTCAACACCGCATGGGCGCCAGCCCTTACCGGCCTCTTGAACCGAACATCCAGTTGCATGGTATACAGCTTGCCAGACTTATCGGGATGGTCAAAGTCGAAACCGGGCAGATGTGCCGCGACACTTATGGCCATCAGCTCGTCAAGTAAAGTAGAGATGACGCCGCCGTGAACTACACCCGGATGCCCATTAAGGTCTGGTTCGGCAAAGTAGATCATGTTGATTGTATCTGCCGGCTGGCTGGAGGGGATCTTGGGCCATTGTGCTGGCGGGGCGGGGAGGGATGGGGCCTTGGATGGGAGGCGTGCGAGCTGATCTGGCTTTCGTTGGAGGGTAAGGAGGTGCGGGATCGTAGTGGGAGTGTTGATTACGGTTGCTATGAAGGCATCTTCGCCTGTCTGTGGCTTTTGTCTTCGGCAGTAGGTTTCGATTGGCTGGTAGGATGGGTTCTTGAGGAGGGTGCTGGTCCACGTATTGGCCTGGAAGGCTGACTCGGTGGCGTCTGGCACGGTGTATGGCCTCGGAACAGCCATCTTGACGATGTTATTTGTTGATTAATTGTTTAGGTAGAGTTGTACTTGGTTGTTGGCGGCTGATGAATAACCGAGTAACTATTAACCATTTTCAACATCGTTTAGAATTGCAGACCAGGAGCGCTTCTTGGCAGTAAATATCTCGGACGTAAAGGGCGACATTAAGACTCGGTACCTTGTGCATTTGCGCCAGCTACAATGGATATCAGCTTGTCCCACTGCATATTCTAGTTGAGCTACGTCCAAAACTCCTCCGGCAACGCATAAGAATGAAAACAAGGAATGAATTGACTGGCAGGTCTCACAGTGCACTCCGTTTATATCAGAGCAGCTCAAGGTAACTCCATACCCGTGTCCACCGCTCCATCTACCCGTAGCTATCGAGAGCTGTCTACCGTGAGACCCGTCACGGTAACGCCTGTTAGCCGCCACAGTTGGATCAAGCTTGATCTTCGATCGGAAAGGCGGCCCATCTTGGCAACTTATACGTCTTGAGCTATCCTCTATCTCCACAGAAACGTAGATGCGCTTTGTCTGTTGGCTTCAAGACTAGAGGAAATGGAAAAAAGCAACATGGATCAGTCTCTGGAGGGTCTCAATCCCAAGGGAGCCCGCAGCCTGCTCACCTTCAAGTAGCCGCTGTTTCCGTCCGAACCGTTCAAGCATCAGCCACAGCCCAGCCAATGGAGCATTGACTGGCCGTGATATGTTTGTTTCTCGCCGGGGGGCGGATGAAGCACAGAGCCAGTCCGGTATGAAATCAATCTATACTATGTGCACCCTTAGCTGTGTCCCCCTTTTCTGCAGGGCCCCACGGCTGTTTGACAGACTATTTCCTCCACCGGAAACGCTAGCCCTGCCCGATGACTGTATTTATCATCATTAGCGGTTTGACGTTGAGTAATTTATCGAGGAAATTGCAAGGACGAGGAAAAAGTGACTTTCGCAACCTGCAAAAATTTGGTCATCGAGAAAGTCACTTTTTTTTAGGCTCGGACGCGCTTTTCCTCTTTGGGCAGTTTGCGACCTTCCTGGTTTTTTTATTCTTGTTTACTTTCTTCTTCTTTTCTCTTCTTCTTCACTTCGTCGCTTCACCGTCTTCGCCGTCTTCACTTATCTCCATCTCGTCCTCTCTGCTCGACTTCTTCTCGTCTTCAGAACTGCAGGTAGGTAAGCGGACACGCTCGACATGATGTGATGCCGGCTGACTTCCAACAGGAAAAGAAGCAGTAGTATAGCTCCACGATGTTGTTCTCTACTCTCGTCACTCTGCCCGTCATCGCGAGCACCGTCTCTGCGCTGGGCTCCAACTACACCGTCCCACCAGACTTCAATCCCGGCCTCGTCTCCCCCGAGGAGAAGAGTACGTTTCTTACCGCATGCAGCCGGGCAACCGACCAATTGGTCGATATATGCTGATATCTCAATAGCAAACTGGTGTGACGCCGAAGCAAACACCTGTAACGATGTCTGCGGTTCTTACAAGGTCAACAGATGCGATCCGGTAAGCTTTCTTCCTACTGCTTGTTTTTACCCCACGAATGCATGCAGGCTGCTGACGAAACAACACAGACGCTCCTAGAGTACTCCTGCGAGTGTCAGAACGGCACCATCCCACAGATGGACCTATACATCAACTCGCTTCCCTGGTTCATCTGCCAGGCTACTTTTGGCCAGTGCATCAAGGCTCATCCCGACGACGCGGATGGCCAGCAGGTCTGCAAGGACAACCAGGACAAGTGCGGCAAGCTGAACGCGACTGCCTCCAACGGTGACGGGTCTCAGACTAGCTCTTCCAGCAGCGAGCCCACCGCCTCTTCCACCAGCAGCCCTTCTGCTACTTCGACCGGTTCTACTCCATCCAAGACCAATGCCGCTGCTGTCATGGTGGCTAAGGATTACTCCCTCGGCATCTTTGCTACTGTCGTCCTGGGTGTCTTTGGTCTGATGTTGTAGAGCTACCTATCCTGAAACTACCCTAATTAATTATCCCCCCCCCTTTTCTCCTTTGTTCTCCCCCCTCCCCAGTTTCTTATACCTGACCCCCCCGGTTCGAGCGATGAACGTGTTTTGCATGTCGGAGATGAGGGTTGGGCACCTTGCGGTTCTTGCAGGGAATTCGGCGATTGATTGGCATTTGGACATCCCGGTTTCACGATCGACGGGCTTCGTCTCGCGCCGAACCTCCAGGACCGTTGTCTGACCTCTTGTTTTCTCCACTTTTTCTCTTGTTCTTTTCCTTGTCTTTTTCTTCATGTTCTCCAACGTCGAGCAGGTTATTCTGACACGATGATGTAGCCTATGTTAATGCCAATGATACCGATACCTATACATACTTACCAACAGTCAATCTCTTACAGTAAAACAATCCAACGCCATCGTACAGCAAAAAACATCACAGAGTAAAAAACAAAAAAGAAAGTGCATCGACCGGGAATCGAACCCGGGGCCCGTCGATGGCAACGACGGATTTTACCACTAAACCATCAATGCTGGCTTGTTGGGGAGGCAAGCCTGACATAGCCCGAAGACCCTCTTACTCATCACATACTCAATGCCAAGACTTCCACACAAGAAAAAAAAGTTGCGTGGAAACTTTATCGATACGTTTTTTCTTCACCATCAAAATATCAAGACTTTATCCCACCAACTGCGGTTGCTTTTTACTTCTGCAGACGAAGTGGCTGATAACCCGCCAGGCTACATATCACAGAGCAGTCAGAGACAAAGAAGGGGAGGAAAAGGGAAAGGAAGAAAAGAGAGCCAGAGAAAAGGGACAGGACAATATACCAGAATGGCTACAAACACCCTGCTGATCGAGGGATCGTTCGACGAACTCGCAGATGAACTCGCCCGCCGCTTCCCTCGATCCGCAAGTCTGTCTCCGCTGCCCAGGCGACTGCCAGTGCTGAAGTGCCGTCTGTCCATGCGGAGATTGCGCCCCTGCTCGAGAAGTTGAGAGAGAAGGAACAGAGCGAGGAGGAGTTGACGGAGGAGCAGACAAAACAGGTCCAGGATGAGCGGGTCGAGGTGCTCAAGAAGATGGTTCTTGCGGCTCCAGTGCTTAATGCCGCTCCAGAAAAGGGTATATACCCCTTCTCCCAGCCTTTTTCTCCGTTTTCAGGGGTATTGTTCAGTGCTAAAAGGGTTATATAGAGATTACTGCGGCGTATAACCTGCTCGTTTACCTGGTCCGTCAGTCGAGCTCTGTCGACATGTTCTTGCCCAAAATCTGCGCGTTCCTGGCCAAACCAATGCCCTCGTCGCCGCTGCATGGCCCTTCCATTGCCCTGTCTATCCTGGCGACCGTCTTCAATACTCTGGACGCCGACGACTCCAGCAGATACCACGTCTTCCTTGCCGTCATGGCTGTTATCAGAAGCACATCCTCCGCCCTCGCCTTTGAGGCACTAAAGTCCCAACTGGCAAACCAATTACCTGGCTGGATCGAATCCTGGGACCTGGACGAAGACGAGACTCAGAAGCTGCACATGTCCATTTCTGACGCTGCCAGGGCCGCCGGTGATGCTGAGCTCTCATACCACCACCTCATCCAGGCACTGCACGCCATCCAGCCATCCGAAGCTGCGTCTAAAGAGGCACGAGAAATGGCCGTCCGTTGCCTTACCACTGCTCTCTCCCTCCCATTCGTCTTCGACTTTACCCCACTAACATCCAGTGATGCCGTCCAAAACGTTCGATCCACAGATGCTTCCCTCTTTGAGCTTCTTGAGATCTTTTCCACCGACAACCTCGACGCCTACGAGGATTTCATAAAGACTACCCCTGTCTCCTCCATCCCTGCCCTAGCATCCGTCAAGACCATCGCGCCCACCAACACCACTTCTACCGCTTCGAGCGAACCGCCATCCGTGGACTCTATTCTACAGACTAAAATGCGTCTTCTTACTCTTGCCAGTCTTGCGGCAAAGGCGCCCTCTCGCTCTCTACCCTACGACGATATCGCCACTGCCCTGCGTATCGATCGAGCTGACGTGGAGAAGTGGGTCATCGACACCATCCGTGCCGGCCTGGTCGAAGGAAAGCTCTCCCAGCTCAAGGGTGAGTTCCTCGTCCACCGCGCTACCTACCGTGTCTTCGGTGAGAGACAGTGGCGTGAAGTCCAGGGCCGTCTCATGGTCTGGAAACAGAGCCTCGAGAACGTTCTCGATGTCATCCGCTCCGAAAAGGAGAAGTTTGCCAAGGAGGCTGCCTCTGCCGCAAGCGCTCCTGCCCAGACATCCGGTGAAGGCGACCGGTTCTCATTCGGAGGTAGAGGAGGCGGCGAGCGAAGGAGAGGAGGACACCAATCGCACCAGCACCAGGCTAGGGATATGGAGTTGGTTGCCGGCGGTGACTAGACCACCTCTCCTGATCTCTCTTTCTCTCATTTTATGTTTACAAAGACTTGAATGTACTGGGCGTTTTTTACGTGTTTTTTTTTGTGTCAACTTCTCTTTTCTTCTACATTAATCACTCTAGGTGGTTTGACCTTCCCTTGACTTCTATGCTTCTTTCTTGCTTTCGAACCGTGAACGTGGAAAGGATTTCAATAGATCAAGCTCGTTGTTTTAATGATTTTGAGCATGAGCATGGATGAGGATGAAAATAAAAGAAGATTCAATCTTGGTCATTTAATCAATCTTTCATCTCAAACTCCAAAATCTTCTATCATAAACTTTGATTAGTCATATATTAGGGCTAAGCCCTCAACACTAATCGCTTAGTAATGTTTTAATATCACATGACTCGCTAACTACATCAGGCTTAGTCTCGCTAATCGCTGCTTTGCGGGATCGCCAAAAATTCGATGTTGGAAAAAGCACACAGAAGAAGACGAAGAACTTGATCGCAGCGCCGTCAACTCACGCCGACTTCGACTTCACGGAATCACCAACACACCGTTCAAGATGACTCACGAATCCGTCTTCTACAGCCGCCCACGAACCTACGGCAAGGGCAGCCGTCAATGGTACGCTCCTAGCACCCATGCACATGGCGAGAAAACGACAGAGAGACATTCTAACAGCTGGATATTGGGATGTGATGCTAACGGAGATGTTCTTTGCAGTCGCGCTTGCGCTCACCAGGCTGGTATCATCCGAAAGTACGGTTTGATGATCTGCCGTCAGTGCTTCCGTGAGAAGGCCCAAGATATCGGTTTCATCAAGGTAAGGACATATAACCGGTCAAGCCGCGAAAGCACAGGAATAAATACTCACATCTATCTTCAACAGTACCGGTAAACAATTCAACCGAGCCGATTTTCTTATTTCTTCTACCCTCCTTCCGTTTGGTTTCTCAATAATTCGACAATCCCGATATATCTTCCTTGAAATCGAATCGAATCGCGCACCTCACACGCTACCCTCATGACTTACAGAACGAATGGAATGGGGGGAAAGGATCAAGTGAAATAGAGATGGGGGTGGATGGACGTGGACGTGTACGGGCATGGACGTGGGAAAGAAATCTTCTTGACCGGACCAAACTGATGCATGTCCTTGTTCTCTGAACTTTTTTTTTAACGCATATCATACCAATAAAAATATGGATACTTGCGGAGTTGACTTTTTTAGAGTGGTGATGAAAATCGAACTGTTTCCCGTGGATGTAGTTCTGCGCTCACGCATGAGTAGCACGGTTTTCTATTACGCATGGATAACCTTGACATCCAAAGGATGTCGTGGGTCTCTGGGATGTCTAATCAATCTATTGGGATGTCTAATCAATCTATCCAGAACGATTCATAAGGAGGCTCAACGCCTGCCGATAGATCTGTGCAGTGAACCTAGTAGAATGCCAGGTTGATAAAGAGTTTGTATAGTGGTAGGCACGTAATATCCAACATCTCAATAAAAGGTCTATAATGCATAATAATGTATATGAAGAACAGAAGGAGGGGAGAAAAATCAACACGCTCTGCTAAACACATTTTTACTTTTTGTTCTAATTGCCCATCAGACGCACGATGCCACGGCCCTCCAGCTCTTGGTGAATTCGAGAAGTGACCTCTTGCTCCGTGCCAACTGCAGAAACGCTCATGACCTTACCCATCTTCTCATAATAATTCACAACCGGCATGCTGGTCTCTTCGAATACACGGAACCGCTTCTTGATTGACTCGATGTTATCGTCGTCGCGGCCGCTGGTCTCTCCGCGCTTTAGCAGACGGCCTAACATGACGTCTTCAGGGCAGGATAGAAACAGCGTCCCTGCAGATAGACAGACTGTTTCCTCAAAGTATATAGCTTGATCCATCTTGCGGGGGAATCCGTCGATAAGGAACCGTGACGTAGGCTCTGCCCTGTTTTCGTTTTTCTGTTTCTCGAGAATGTCGGCCATTGCGTTGGAGAGGAGGGTGACGGTGATTTCCATGGGCACGATAATCCCCTCGCGAATGTTGTGTCGAATCAAATCACCATACTGGCTTCCTTCACGGTCCTGCTCGGCTCTGAGAAGATCACCCGCGGAAAGATGGGAGAAGCCATAGTCCTTGACAAGCTTGGCTGATTGCGTTCCCTTCCCGCTTCCCGGACCTCCAAGCACAAAGATAACGGTGACCTCATCGGCTGAGAATCGTGGGGAGGTGTTGGTTGAAGTAGGTGGCGCAGGGAGTTCGGCCGATGTCTTGGCCTGGGCTGGAGTGCCGGACGTTGGCATGTCACTTGCCGGGTTTGGCATCCTTGGGAGCGCGGGACTTGATCAAGAGTGCGTACACGCCGCTTCCAACTGCGAGAATTGCAAGTATAGGAAGAACCTTTATCTCAGAGTTATTTCGGTTGTGGTTTGGAGGACGCGGGGTAGAGGAGTACGGTCGAACGAAGGGAGATGCTGCTGTTGCAAGGCGGGGTGGTTGACTTCCGCTGGGCGAACGAAGGACCTGACGAGCGGCCAAAGAGCCAGATCTAGAGAGTGAAACTGCGCATGTGAAGGGCATTCCTAGCCAATGTAATCAATTGTCTGTTTAATAGGGACTATATAGGGCCCGCACACTTCCTACCCAACTTTTCTTGTCTATCTCTCTCCTTTTCCCTGATGTTTTGAAGTCGAGATGAAGAAAATACTGACAAGCTGTCCCAAAGCAGACTAGCGGCCTTGGCGGTGACACCAAGGTTTTAAGCGTATTTTTACCTTTTCTTGCTTATTCAAATGTCAAGTCCCGCTAGGCCCAAAAGGGACACAAAGGCCTTACTAAGTAGAACCTTTGGGCATCTGCGCTGAGTGGGTCGCAACAAGGTGGATCACATGATTAGGCATGCAACTCTAACTGCTGACAAACCCTCTTTCGACGTATGGAGAAAGAGGCAAACCTCAGGTTCGGGATATGGGGTCGGGCAAAAGAACCGCTTTAAATGATGTCTGGTTCGCCCGGAACGGCCAATAAAACCACTGTTGGCAACAGCTAAGTGGAACAGCTAGCTATTCTGCACACTATATGTAGAGAACAAATTGACATGTGCTCTCGGAGCATCTCCACCATATATCACCATCCATCTCCGTCCCAAAATCCACTATCCATGGTAGAAAGGATGACAAGACGTGGGAGAAAGGCCGCTTGGCAGATGGACAGATGGCAGGAACACGATCCCCATCCTTATTGATTGACTATACATAGCTGTCCCCCACGAGATACCAGTTGTCCTCGTAATCTGTCGCCTGGTTCGGCTTAGGAACCCGCTCATGGCCGGAAAGTCTGGAGAAGCCTGGAGGTAACCCCTGTCTAGCTGGTCCTTTGAAGCGACCAGTGCGTGTATCCCACATCCTTCATATTACTCTCGCCTCTCCGACGAAGAGGTTTCGCAGGGGGAGGCCAGGCCGTGCAAATGGATTTAAATAGCGAACCACTCGCACCAGGAACCTCGTCCATATTTTTTTCTCTAATCCGACGCCGCCGTTCAAGGTTCACACTGCCATGGAGAAAAGCGATATAGAAGTGTCGGGGTCTAGCGACCATATAGATGGTCCAGTCCAGACCACGCCTAAGAGAGAACTTGAGGATCCAGATGCTCATTTGAGTGAGGAAGAGAGAAAGAAACTCGTAGGTTTCGTGATGTACATGTTCTGGAATAAAAAGACAATCGCTGAGAGATGGTATCGATAGGACAGAGCATTATTGTGGAAGCTCGACCTTAAATTGGTCCCTTGGCTCTCCCTGCTATACCTTGTCAGGTTCGTTTGGGAGAAAGCTTGGTTGCGAACTTGAGCATAAGCTGACGTTTAGACAGCTTCTTAGACCGAACCAATGTCGGAAATGCAAAGCTTGAGGGTCTTCAGAAAGATCTACGCCTCACTGATGGCCAATATGCCGCAGCTTTGACGATATTCTTCGTCTCCTATTCCGTATTTGAGCCATTGACAAACATTCTACTCAAACGACTAAGGCCCAGCATTTTCATTCCAGTTATAATGATAATATGGGTACGTCTGAGCCTATAACTAACATACTGTGAATGTAGCTAACAATTATCCATGGTAGGGTATTTGCATGACCACTATGGGCTTAACTACGAACTTTCCTGGTTTTATGGCAGCTAGATGGTTCCTAGGTTTCAGCGAAGCAGGCCTTTTCCCTGGAGTAGGCTATTTCTTGTCCTGTTGGTATAGACGAACCGAATTTGGTGTTCGCATGGCTATCTTCTTCTCTGCCGCAGCCGTGGCTGGCTCGTTCGGCGGTCTACTTGCTGCAGCGATTGCCAAAATGGATGGTGTGGGGGGCAAAGCTGGCTGGGAATGGATATTTATTCTCGAAGGCCTTGCTACCATTGTCATTGCTGTGGCATCGTTCTGGATGGTGCAGGACTTTCCTGACACCGCAACATTCCTGTCTGAAGACGATCGAAAACGTGTCATTCTTCGGCTCTCAAAGGACAAGCAATCCAGTGCAGGACACGAAGACTTTAAGATGTCATACTTCTGGGCCAGTGTAAAAGACTGGAAGACTTATGTCTCTGCTTTCATATACGCTGGATGCGTTGGTCCGCTCTACGCATTTTCACTCTTTCTTCCAACCATCATTAAAGAATTGGTAAGATTTACCTCTTCTTATTTCCTGTTTATTCTTCTAGTGGTATTAACACTAATTTGCTCTGTTCTAGGGTATTACCTCCAATATTATCTCTAATATTTGCTTCCAACTAATATAGTTACATAGGATATCAATCAACCATGGCGCAGCTACTCTCCGTCCCTCCATATGTTGCCGGTTGTTTTTTGACCATCGTCGTCGGACTCTTTGCTGATCGCACCAAAATGCGTGGGCTATGCAACATCGGCGTATCGCTTATTGGAATTATTGGATTCAGTATGCTTCTTGGGGCCAAGTCCCCCGAGGTACGGTATGCTGGGACATTCCTAGGTGCAATGGGCATCTACCCGTGTATCCCCAATACGATATCATGGGCTAGTAACAATACTGAGGGTAAGTTACCTCATGTTTCATCCCTCTTGCCTATTCTTTTCTGGCTCTAACGATTATATTCAGGAGTGTATAAGCGTGGTGTTAGTCTTGGCTTTATCATTGGCTGGGGAAACCTCAACGGAGTGGTATCCTCCAATATTTATAGAGCAGAAGACGCCCCAGGCTTCTTTCCGGGCCATGGAACGGTATTGGGGTATATGATAGTGTTCCTTCTTGGTGGTAGTATCTTGCAGCATGTTCTCCTGAGAATTGAGAACGGGAAGAGGATCCGAGGCGAGCGGAATGCATGGGCCGAAGGGCAAGATGCCTATGGTATTGAAATGCTGGGAGACAAACGGCCAGACTTTATCTATACACTTTAAATAACAAGTTTAACTTATATATATATATATAGCATCTAACATGTCTCAAGCGGACTAAAATACCGGAACCTTGCAGAGGGCACTGCGTAGTAGGTTGCCTTTGTACGTCTGCAACTTGTTCAACGTTGGGCATTAAGTTGCTTAAGGCAATGGAGCTGACATTTAGTTACCTCTGAGCGAACCAGCGGATAGAAGTATGGCAGTATATGGGCCATGTAGTGTTAACAAACCGGAAACACGCATGAAATAATGGCCTAGATGTTTACAGACGAAACAAACCATCAAACGTTACACCTTAACGCCGCCTAAGTTACTTAAGAATCTTGCGTTAGCAAACGATTTCGGCTCCTCAGCTCCTGCATCTCCACAACCCAACACAAACGCTTCAGCATATTTATGTTGCCAAAAATCGGCAAGATGCACTAAAGCCCACGTTACTGATGCGCCTATGGTGGATATAAACCCGAATTCAAACGAAACTTTCAGACCTGTTACCGCTCTCCCACCTCATACAAACATAATGATAGAAAACACCATTGCAGATCCTATAATAGATGATAAAATAAATGGATGCTACAAGATGGATGGAGGTTGACAATATATTCGTGTTCGAGGGTGGGTTGGAGTACTACATAGTATGTAGCAAGCCAAGCTCCTCCGCCCCCTATTAGGTAACTAAATACTGCATGACACCTGCAGGCATGCATGCTTATAATTTGTTTGACAGCTATTTTTACTAACTTGCCACCAAAAACATAATGTTAGAAGAGTTGAAATTAAGATTGGCGTCGCGGAATTACATCGAGGTTGATGCACCGTTCAATGTTCAATCCTAGTGTGACACCCATGAAATTGGCCTCCAGCCTTGTCCTCAAGCGCAAGAATCAACCCTCCACACCCTTCATAGAGTATCAATTATTGATTCCAGCATAACTAGGCTTGTTTCCCTCACACAAAGAGGGAGTAGATATCGACACTCAATTTCGACCGCAACTTTCGCTTACGTACCCTGAAATCCGTACTTAGCGCTGACAACTTTTCCAACGATAACTTGTTGGATTCACCTCGAGCCAGTTAAAAGCGAAAACGTATTAGTAGATCATATTGGTGAACTTGGATCGCTCCGGCAAGCTTTGGCCCAATGAAAGCTTTAATCTGGGAGTCGCATGTAGGTGCTTCCATCGTTGGACGGGAGAAGGGAACAAATACGGAGTACATTGATACATGTAGTCCCGGTACTCTGGGAAATGAGAATGTCATCAGACAATCACATTGAAATTGACTCAAATTATCATCAACAAAACCTTCAAGAGGAGTTGCATGCATGAAGGTCTCTTCATCAATGTAGTGGCGGAGTGTCGTGCCGAGCCCGTAATTGGGCCTCGCATTCTGGGATATATTTGGGGGGAAAATGTAGTACTCCTAAAATACTTTTATCCTCACCAAGATAACATGTAAAAGAAAGTACTATTAAAGTATTTATAGAAGGCGGGACCGTGCTCCACTATTTTTAGCGCTGTCGAAATAGAGTTAAATGTTAAACCAATTATAGGCCGGTGGAGCATTACTAAAAGTAGATTTCAGCATGCTGATTGGCTGGGTGGATCCCGCGGGCCTAGCCGCAGTGGTCCTAGCGTGTGATGGAGGATGCATCCATCACAGAGTGGAATCACCTGCGCTACTGGCCCATCACAGCGACCACAGCACAATCGACATCCCTTCTGTATCAAAAACCCTATCCTGGCAGTCAATGCTGGCTTGTCATTCGGCCGTCGCCCCAGCCTCGACATCAGCGATGAACCCTGTAACCGCTGGGTGACTGGTCCAGGGCAGCTCACAACAGACCAAACAAAGCAATCCTCTGGTGTTACCAACTGTTGGCTTCACCCCTCGCTCAATTTTCGCAACACCCCGATTGATCCCTGACCGTCACAGTCACAGCCTGCATTTCAGTTTCCTCTTTGTCATGTCTGGTCTATTCTGCAAATCAGCAAGGATGATTGATCTCCTCGTGTTAGGGTCAATGCTGGTATTCATATAGGCTGGTCAGCTACTATTTTGTCCTGCTTTCCTGGTTCCTCTCCTTCTTGAGCCCATTTTTATTAGGTTTACGCCTGAACTCCCTGGCATACAAATACCCGTTACTCTTGAGCGGGCGGTTAACGTCGAGAGTCTACTGGTTGCTTGAAATAGCCCAGACTGCCCACCCTCTCAGGGTCCCTGGACGTGACGGGCGCTAAAGATACAATATCTTCCTCTCATCATCTTTTCTTTTCCATTTTCCCTTTCATCCAACTTTCTCTTGTCCCTTTTGGCCCCCCGCCTATAATCACTGTACGGCAGCGACTGGTTTCGTGCCTATTTCAGAGCAACCCATTCTAAGCGCCCACTTTTGCATCTTGACTGAAGCCTACATCTGTCAGAACAAACTGAGCAACTTTTGGAAGTCTTTACGTCTGCACTGTGCGTCAATCTATACAGTTACATCTTCCTTTGTTCTTCGTTCTTCTAACATACCAAAGCGTAGATCTGTCTGTACGACAACGAAAGGCTAGCTCAAAGGAGAGCTGCTTCCACTGGATAGGAATCCTCCTCTTAAGCATTCGACATCTTCTCTCCAGCTTCACCCACATCTCTCTGGGATGTCTAATCTACATCCCAACGACTATACCGAGGGATCAGAATATTCGTTCTCCCCCGAACCTGTTACGCCAGTCGACATAGTCCAGTCAACTCGCAAACATACAGTTGGATTCGCCGCCCAACCCACCACAATGGAGAATTCGTCTCGCGATCCTCCCTCCGAGTCGCCCTTTGCCGACCCTCCAGAGAAACCGTCAGCCTCAGTTTCAAACAAGCAGCCAACGGTCGCTGATGTAGGTTTCGGCTATGTTTCTGATAATCAGCCGGAGCGAGGTGTTCCCGGTTCTTCAACCACCGCTCCAAATTCACCACTCAAGAGCGCCATGAAAGTGCCTGGGACGCCGGGCCGTTTTGGAAATGCGAACCCACTGAGCCCAACGTTTAGAGAAGAACAGATTCTCGAAATCCATGAAAAAGACGCTGAAGAGGAAAATGCAAAGGACCTGGTATGTTCTTCCATGCACATCCATGCATGACTGCTTGTTAACGCAGTTTATAGAAAATCAAAACACGAGTCCGCCTGTCGAAGATTATGCTCCGTGGTGTCAACTTCTCCTGCAGCTTGATCGTCCTGGCGTTACTTGCTCAGTCATTCATCATTTTCCGCACAACCAGGCATTTGGACTCCAGAAATGGACTGACCCCTTGGGACCCTAACACCAGGCCCTGGCCACAAATTCTCATTCTAGTCATGACCTCCGTCAACATGTTCCTGTCTCTACTCGTGATTTGGAACAATTGTCGTGGAAAGGAACGTCGTGCAGAGA